ATATTCTCACTCCCAATGCATTCTTCGAAATTTCTAATGAAGTTCCAATAATTTGTCGGTGTACCATCAAATCCTAAGACTTCTCTTTTTGGTAAATACAGATTTTTTAATATTGTATTCTCACTGTTGCTTACTGACTGGTCAGAACCTTCACATTTCTGGCGGCGTAACTTTTCTAATTCAATTTCCTTTTCTAACTGGTTTATGCGCAACCTAGCTAACTCTAGTTCTATCATGTTATTGCTTTTGAGTTCGTTCTTTTCGAGTTGATCCTCGTCATACACTCCCAAATGATGGGGTGGTAACTCTGGAATCTCATCGGAATCGTAGTATTTATTGGAAGTCATTTCAGTAGGTATATCGAATCTACTGTTCGGAACTTTGTAGGAAGCAATTTCCTACAATTCATGTAAGTTAATGTGATTGGGATAAATACATTGTATGGTTGAAATATAATAATAAAAGTTTGACTGCTCTTTTTTTTTCTTAGACTTAAAGCAGGGGATAGAAGAAAAAGTTACGAATCAGCGGACCAATATGAGTTAAGTTTGTATAGACTCAAATTTATTCGTGTCAGCTGGGACGTATCACTAGAAGAGACTGGGGATGTTAAGTTACAGACGAAACAGCATATGCGAGGTAAAAAAAAATTATAAATGGAATTTCGATTGGCTTATATAGAGAATGATAGCGATTAGCGTCTTAGACAAAACAAATAGTTCGTAGATTTTATATCATGAACATGTCTTAGATAGGTCACCATAAGAGTGGGAGCAATGGACGCCCGTACCGTCATAGCATGGGACTCCTCTGCGGTGCATATGCACGATCTCACATCTGGGTAGTGAACTCAGGACCTTTGGTTTTGCACGCTTATGCCTAATCTCTAGACCACTGAGTCGATATCCAGCATTGGTAGTGTCTAACACCAATTCACAATATTGCGCGACCATCTTCCATTACCTGCAGGGGATAACTATCTCACGTCCTATTTGATTGGACTCTACTGATTGGTTATGGCTTCTCACTGGAACTCCAGGAATCGAATCTAGAATTTGGTCATATGATTACTATCAGTATATGGTTTTGTGGAGTCTATACAATTTTCATAGGTCTTATGTCGCGAATTACGATTAAACAACTGTCTAGTATTTTTAAGTTTTCAATAGTGTTATAAATAACTAAAAGATCTATGAAAACTCTATAATGTCCACAGAACCTAATACAAATAATTTATCATAATTTGTATTTCATTTGAAGATAGGATACGTGTCCATAAATCTTACAATGTCTAATATATGTGCAGTATCAAGTATTTTAGAGAATTCAGTGGGTAAGTGCTAAACGTAAATACATAATTTTCAGTGTGGATTTCATTTCAAGCTTTACTATTCACTTCATTTGCCATTTTTCATCCAGCAATTAGAAGTGTGCTGGGCTGGCGTGATCACAGAAGACGACTTTAGATTATTGAAATGAAATCCCCGATGAAAATTATGGTTTTATATTTAGGACTCATCCACAAAAAAAGTTCGAAAACGTTAGATATTACACATTTAATGAACAGTGAAAAGAAGATAGATAACCTTACACTATCTGTTATACGGCGATTAAACTAAAACTGAACATAGGTATAAAAACAACCTACACGTTATGGATAGCAACGGAAAAAAATAGTAGGGCTTCCAACCGTTGTTATGTCAACTCGTGATTCCGCCCGGAGTCACAAGCACAGGTAAAGGTGGAGAATCGCATATGGGGTTAGCAACACCATCCGGTTGAAAATTCTTCTGAAAGTGCTTACCGGATAATTTGCGTTATCAAATCAGTAATCAATAATTTTATTCTAGTTTTCCCTCAATCGTAAGGATTTCATGAATAGTGGACAATAGACGACAGGTATGACACTACCCTATCGAATATAGGCCTTGTATATGGTTAAGTCTTACATTCTCCCATTTGCTTTAGCGCTTAAAGTTATAAATTTGAATATCCATGTTTTTTTAACCTTATGACGAAGATAGCATAACATTACCACTTATCAACTGAGACGATTATCTAACAACCATTAAGTCTGTATAACACAACATGAATAAATCTTCAAAAATCAAAATGAGAAGATTCTGTATCCAGGATTATGTGAAGAAAGAAATAATAGAAATAACATTTATGAAATATGAATGCTACCGGATCTAGGAATGTTAAAAGACAATTGTAAAGTAAATTATCAAAATAAATGAACTGACAACATCATGAAGAAATATATTCCATACAGTCTGTTAATAAATATTAAGTAATCAAAAGGATATACTCACTAATGACTAATTTAGAGAACTAATTCACGGAGTTCTAGTGAGAAATTGTGATCGGTGGAATTCGATCATGCCAGATGTGAAAGTTGTGTAGTATTGCGAATTGATTGAAGTTAGAAATGTAGACTCATGAGCCTGGATTTTAAGCGCTGTTTACGATAAGACTTACAAGTTTTGACCTCGACTCCCCAACGAAGTCGTGGATGTGCACCTCTGAGGAATTCCATACTAGGACAAAACAGCTTTCCAACATCACTTAGTCTTTAATGATTACTTAACTAGTATCAGTCTGTGACATGAACTATGCAATTCAACAATCTCTACAAGTCTCTCATAATGATTAGAATTTTCTTTAGTTAAGTGATTTGTGGATATTTGTTCAGATTAAAATTACTAACGAACATGGTTTTTTTTTTTTTAAAAAAAACTCACTAGTCTGAAAATCAGATACTTATTGACATTTATTATCAACACAGAGAACAAACAGACAAATCTTGAACATTTAACGCTGGTTAAAATGGCATTGATTATATTCCATTACAAATAGTATATATTTACACACTACTTAGAGGAACATGGTGAAATTTACAACGCCGTGACATGTTTAATGCTCACAAAAAACATGGGAAAAAAGGGCAAGATAGAGAAAAAAAAGTCACCGTAATTAATCGGAACAACACAATGAGGATGAAGTAAAGCACCAATTTATCTGAGATTAACCAACGTAAAATCAAGTCGGTTAAAAGCGGCACTTGAGTGTGTACATATATCAATCTATATATGCATGTATGTATGTGTACGTAAGTAGAGTTGTGAAACCCAAAAGAGCATCGATTATATAAATATATATTATGTATGTACGAAGTAATAGTGAGAAAAATATCATAGCAACACAAGTTGCATACAGTCAGACGGTCATACAGACAGTTAGACATAAACATTGTATATGTCCAAAATATGTATGTATATGTCTTTGCACTTACTACCTATGTGTGTATGTCTGCGTGTGCACTTGTAAATCGCATCTAGAACTACAATATGAAGCATAACATACAGGTGTGGTGATATCACAGAGAACATACATACATACAGCATGATTAGCTTAAACGATATTAACCAACCTACTGTTCAACTAGCTGACTTAAATTTACACACACATAAACCGGCACAATGATTTAACAAAATGATTCATCGTGTTTACGGCCATATATGTACTATTATTTTTTTTTACAGCTATTGTTACTGTATTACAATTCCGACAGAAACTACTACTATTAATACTACTTTTAACATTACAAACCAACCGCACTACCATTGATATTGCTAATATAATGCTAAAAATTTTTCACCATTATATCTGTCTACCTATTATGTCGATCAATATAATATGGAGTACACATATGCATATGCACGTGTATATAGAAAGTATCACAAGGTTCTCGAAATCAACACACAAACATCAAAATTTGAAAAAAAACAAAACAAAACAAATAAGCACACAGTAAATTTAGGTAAAAATAAGTAAAAATTAGGTAATTTTGCATGATATAGAAAAAAGATATGCATGCATGTATCTAGAAATTGTACCGTTGGTTCGAAGTAATAACGGGAAGAGTATAGGACAAGGAGGAGCTTAAAATAATTGCGACTTGTTTTTAACCAATTAGTTCTTAGCCAATCAAAAGACAGTTTTTATAAGTTGAAATCATGAGTCAGTTGAAGCTAGACCACCATTGAAAACCTGGAAGCACTGGACGGCCGTTTCGTCCTAGTATGGGACTCCTCAGCAATGCGCATCCACAGTTTTTATAAATGAATAATTTATGGAAAAGAAAACAATCAGATTATAAAGAGTGTAGACAGATTTTACAGATTTAATGGATCTGTTTAAAATCTCGTCTATAACTTACTCTGTCAGTAACTGAGAGAAAACTACGTGCAAATTCGTCGTCATGGCCATATATAATACGCCTTACTCAAACCTTGATTGATTTCGAAGAGTCCCCTTAACCACCAGTGTTCTTAACTAAGGTTAGTGGCTCTTTTTATCACAAACTGTCATTTAAAAGTGCTCACTGTGGCCATATCATGTACTCACTTACGCCTGTTACCTATGTGTTGGAGCAGAGGCCCCCGACCAGGATTCTCCAACCAACTCTTTCCTGAGCTCCCCTTTCCAGTCGTTGACAAATGTTATTCATTCTTTTGATGTTTGCCTCGAAATCACAGGACAATGAATTCTTTGATTTGTCCATTTTCCTTTAGGATACCAAACTAGGGTTTGCCTCGTGATTTAGTTTGATGATTTCCGTAATGTGTCCTATCCATCTTCAGGGTCTTCTCTTAGTTTCCTCTTCAATGTAGCCATATGGTTGAATGAATTTCATGCGAAAATTCAAGACATGGTATTTGATTATTTGCCCATAAAATATATCACTATCAGATTAAGATTTAATAATATAGCACCTAGTGTCCATTTGCCAGTTGTATAATATGGTTGAACAACATACAAAAGTGTTTCTACTATTCATATAATAAATGATAATTGAATTTCGCTCAAAAACCTACAACTTATATTCTTGCTTTTGATTAGCTCTTTCCTACAACCATATTTTTATTATAATACATTTCAATTTAAATAAATTAACAAAATTATAAAATAGAAAAATGTAAATTATAAACACTTACTTGACCAAATGTACCTTTACCAATTAAGGCTAGAATTTTATAACGATTATACCATACATCACCAATACGCACAAGTCCATGATGATGATGATGATGTGATGGATATACAGACGATGATGCTGATGATGATTGACAAACAGAATTTGATTGTATTTGACAAGAGTATACAGATGGACCAGTCCCAACACTTGTTGATGTTAATGTGAGTCCAGTACGAAATCCGGAAGCAGTGGTAACAATATTCAAATTACTCAATGGATATGATTTAGACGGATTACAAGAAGGAAACGATGAACCTGTTCACATGCACACACATTGTTGACATAAAAAAACGTAAGAAGATAAATATAAGAATGAGACAGCCGGATTTTCGTATGATTAAGTTGAAAAAAAAAACTAAAAAATCTTGACCAATATTTAGTATTGGTGAGAATAAAGAAAAAAGCACATTAGACAACAAAGAGAATATGATTCACATCATAAAGTCAGTCAGTCAGTGATAACGTACAAACCTGGTACGTATGTACATCCGTTCAAATTGTCATATCCCATTAGCACAAACAGATGAAATTGTCAGACAAAATCCAAGAATAGTAAAGTTAAAAACAGTATCAGTGATAATAGGAAAGATTAGGTATCGAAGATACGATTCGAGAGGAAAATATAGATTAGTGGGACAAAGCATTATAAAATAAGTTTTGAAACTCTAGCTCAAAAAATGGGAAAACAAAAAGTGAATGAAACTGCTGATATTAAGGCGGATTCTCTTTAACTAACTTATATCCATAATGTATAAACATTTTGAAAAAAAAAGTCAATACTTATAATACCTCTTATATTCATATGTCATTTTACACTATTTTAAATCTTATTTCCAACTATATTCCATAGAAGTGGTTTTCAATGTCAGTCTAACATAAATCAGTTCATGATTTCAAAGAAGTTCAACAATCTCCACAAACCCCTTATTGAAATTTCTTATTATTTTAACACACAGATATTGGTACAAGGAGGCACCAAATACATATGCGCCACACAGATCTCATTTGATGTGTGTGAGGGCTGCGATACTGCCCGGGTGCCCAAACTGAGGTAGGCCTTATTGAAAGGCTTTTTCTCAGAGGATTCACTTTTTTAAAAAGTTACAATCGCAAAAATATATTTATATTCGAAAATGATCAGTAATAATAATAATAATAATAATAATAATAATAATAATAATAATAATAATAGATTCGTTAAACAAAGTGACAGAGAAGATAAACTAAAAACAAAAATGTTATTGTTATTGATAAATCTTCTTAAACTCTTCTAATAATCTCAGGCTAAATCTACACAACAACTTGAACGTGAGAAAATGTGCGAAGTGTGAAACGAATACTTTACTCCAAGGTTAATTGATGTACAGAAAATCGAGGGTATTTATGGTATATCGGGTGGGTTTGGGCTTCTGGAACCATACTAAACTTAGTAGCAGGATAGGTAATCACTCAATCATAAATGTAACACGTGACTTCACGTTCTAGACGTATTTGCGAAACTTATATTGAATGATGATTTGAATAAAATGTTTCCCTGTGTTTTCGCGACCCCTCTAGACTTTTCCCAGGGATACTTTGGATCTTCCCAACACTTATTAAGAAACTGGAAGATGTAACCATTATGAGACTGAATAGTTATTAAGATAGATAACTATTAATCGTTGTGAAAGAAAGGTTGAAGTTGAGATGAACTGTGGTCAAGAAGAGCATGGAAACACAAGTGAGTCGGTGGAATATAAAAGGTCAATAAACAAAGGAAAAGGGAAGGTGATGGTCTTTAGAAGAAAAATGAGATTAAAACCATGGTAGGAGTTAGATAAATTTAATTTATCTACACAGTTCTAGTTTATTCAGATGTATAGCAAAAACTTTAACAGTGCTAAGACGAAAGCTCATTGTCTTCGACAGCTTTCTATTTACATTATAAATTATTTGAAACGCTGTCTGTTTTAATTAATGATGTTACATTACGAGCTTTACGTTTTTGCATTAGCCTGTCTATATGTAATTTGATAGACGTACTCCTCCTGCTATTACTAGTAGTAGTAGTGGTCGAACAATAATAAGGGATATCTAACCTACAATGAAGAGAAGTTTTAAACTGATAACTTAATATTTACCAAACGAATGTAGGTGCATATAATATTTTTGCTATAAATTATCTTGCATCATTGCAAGAATAGCGAAATGAAAATAAGCATTTCTTTTTGGATTGGTACATAAATTTGTTAACTTTATAAGCACTGTATATCAGTGGAGCGATGAAAAGGCTATTAAGCCGTTTAACTTTCAGCCATTAAGTCCCGGGTATGAACCCCGCTCTACTCCTGTCTGGACAGCCGGGCAAGCATCGTTAGCGCTCAAGCTCATGTGCTTGATGGATGAGTTAATTTACTATGGATACTGTATAACAAAAATGACAGCATATATATTAGGGTACAAACCAACTGAAAAGTACTGCAACGTAGACCTAACCAACTATTCCACGAACTAGTCAGTCCTTGTTGATATAAATAAAATATTAGACTCTAGACACTATGGTGTTATATCACTACACAAAGTCAATAAGGAAAATCCTGTTGATACTGAACACTAGACTATATGTTCTGTGATGATGTAGCGTACTTAATTTGAAAGGAACTATTCTATCTTGGTGGACAATAAAGAAAGCAGAAGAGGCTGAAATACAGAAACAAATAAAAAACAACTCATTCAAACTGTACAAGTACACCTACAATACTATAACTCATTATAATTGTGAAGTTACAAGTACTAACTAGATAATTACACTGAATTGTTTAAATTACATGGAAATTCTTAATCTATTTAACTGAAAGTCAGACGTCTATACTATATAGAGATAAGGAAAATTGTATACAGGAAATCTAGTTCACTAATCAAATTCGAATGCCTAGCATCATCTAATATTTCAAGCGATATAATTTACCTTGATCGTAGATATGTTGTTGAGAATGGTGAGAGAGATGTGAAGTAGTTAGATCTTTGGAAATAGAATGTTGATTAGGATGAAGAACAGTTGAATGGTGATGATGTTTCATTTGAACTATAGAGGGTCCTTGATGTCGTGACTGGATAATGCCATTGACTCCGGATGATCGTGTTTGTAAATCTGAAGATGATGTACAACAAATAGACCCTGTGACAAGATTATTATTATTATTATTATTACAACCAATACCACATCGATGTGGAGGTACCATAGGAATTTGTGATGATAATGTAGACGACTGTGGTGCTACACAATGATGATGGTGATGATGATAATGATGATAATGACATGTTAATGCAGCTGTATTTGCTACAGTTGCAACATTAACTCCTGTTAAACTTCCTGTAGATCCATTTTGACATGAAGGAGCCAATCCACCACCATTACCAAAAGTAACAGAACCTTTACGATCTCTTTTTTGAATACTATCCTCACTAATTTGTTCTCTAATACGACGTTTCTTTCGATAGTAGACCTAAAAAGAAAGAAAAGATAAGTGGATTTTTACTAACTTTTAACAGTTAAAGAATCATATTCTTAAACAATATAGAACTTTAATTGTGTTTTTTTCTCTCAACAACTAATCTTCGTGTTACATTTAAACAAGTTTGTTTAGTTCTTTTTCTTTATTAGAAAAAAAAAATGGAGTTTTGAGAAATTCGTATAGTTAAGGATTTTGTAAATGATGAGAATGTCAAATGTCCAATCAAAAAAAAACAAAACAACATATTAGACAATTAAAAAAAAACCAGCGCAGAATTTCTCTCAATAGAAGTGTTAATAACAAAAATAATTCTAGGCTAACAGAAAGAAAAAAAAGAAGCTTTACTCAAATAGGACTGAATGAGAAAGTAAGCAAACAAATACATTTACAATAGTTTTACAATATGAAAGTAGTTTAAAATAATTGATTGAATTAGTAAAATATGATGATATTAGAGGTTGGATAAGAGGAAGAAGAGGTTAAGATAATTACACGGACTCTAACTATAGGTAGACTGAACGTAACATAACGGTTCAGTCAAATAGTGAATGAATTCATGGTTAATGGATAGAGACCACCTAAGAGGGGTCGGAGCAATAAACATGATCAGTAGTTGGACGTTAGGTAACATAGCTAAACATTTACTTTATTTTCTCATATATATTGCTTTCATACATAACTATACTTTCAATGTTTAGTCTTTCCCGCTAACAATCGTATCATAATTATTTCAATTCTTTTACTACTCATTACATCCATTGCATCGCATGATTCTGATATGATACGGAAACATGGGCTAACGTACATTTGTTCCAAATTGCACATTGATTATGACTGATTCTTAAGTAGTTTGTTGTTTAAATGTGAATAATCAACTTTATAGTAACCTCAAATTTTTCTTAATAATTAACTCTCTCGTACAAATTATGAAACAACACAAGTGTATCTTCTAAGGTAGCTTTCGTTTGTTGCAATAATTCTTTTTAAATTAAAGATAGTGTTGTGACGTGTGTCTGCAGATTAGAATGAAGCGCTTTATCCATCGCTTCAGTGACACGGAAAACACGTACGAACGGCCTAGAGTCTCGATTGGTCCCGCTTCCCTGTCTAGCCCAGCCAGTTGAGTCCGGAAACACAAATCTCAGCTTCTGAGTTATGAATCATTATATTCCAAGCATACTCTATTTATATACCAACCAAACAAACCACACCATAGCATAAAATGGAAAACAACATTTGTACAATATTTAACAAGCGAAATAAATACTAACCAATAGGGGGTGTCCATTCAACGTCCAAGGACACCATTAGACTTAGCACGATAATTATTGGTATATTCCTCTGCATCCCTAACAGATAGGTTCATCTTTTTTTTGAGGAATCAACGAGTAAATTACATAATTGTAATTGAGTAGTTTGGATATGAATAAAATAGAGCTACTTCCAGATCATTAGAAATACTGAATTCTTGAAATTCATGTACAACATACCAAGAAAAGTCTATCAGTCAGTCAGTCAGTAACAACGTAGAACTTCGTACGTACGTACATCAGTTCGAGTTGCCACACCACATTAGCACAGAAATGCAGTGGTCGATTCAAATCCCGTAGTGGTAGAGGTAATAAGAGTATAAGCAGTAATCGGAAAGATTAGTGTTTGGAGATGTTACTTAAAGAGTATAATACAGTGAAATAAACTTGGGAAGAGAAAAAAGAAGAGACAAGGGGGAATCAGGAGATCAAAATTTCGGAGAACACAAAGAGTGGATGCACCTGCGCCATTGCAAACGATTTTGAGCCATGTCATTCAAGGTCCCTAACCATCGGTTGCTATCATCTCGCGGTCCCCAGTGTATCAAGTGGAAAGAACCATGTGTATTTTATCCCACTAACAACTATACAATATTTATACACATAGTTCCCTTTATCATTTTGAAAAGAGCAAGAACAAACATTCTAACAGAATAGCATGAATTCATTTTTATTTCGTTTGGTTCTCGTCAACTGCTTACAATCTGTGATATTTAGAAATTATTCATCACATAATGGGTTTATATTATTTACACGAGACGGTTTGGTTGGAAGTTACATCAAAGACACATTAGTATAATATAAATAAATTTAATAGACTGAATATTGTAAATATATACCTTATGTAAAAGAACATTGTGACAACGGTTCAAACGGCTAGAAACAAGTGAACATTGATAGGAATAAAATGAGTAAAGTTTAGTTGATAAAATAAGATTATTAATTTGAAAGATAGTTGGAATAATACTCAATAATGTAATAAATGCAAGAAAGAATTCAAAGAAAAAGGAAAAAAGAACATATTAAGATACAACGAAGGAATATTAGTCACCATGGGCTCCATTATCCTAAGGGAACAAATGGCGTATGAACCAATCGTTGGTCACCGGCTTCCATGGGACTGTATCTCCCCACGATGCTCCACTGCCCTGTTGGTCAGACCTTCAGGTCGAAGGCTTGGGGAGTGGCCCCTTAAGAAAACCACCTGCTTCGGTTTGGGCACCCGAGCAGTATCACAGCCCTCACACATATCGAATGAGATTTGTGTGGTGCATATGTATTTGGTGTCTCCTTGTACCAATATCTATGTGTTAAAATAAATAAATAAATATTAGTCACCAAGGCAAGGAAAGATTAATAACCATCTCCTTTTGAATACATAAATCAATATAGTGATGTAATTTTACATTAACAAATCTATGCGTCTACACAAAGAACCCATCAATTTAGATATAAACTAATCAATTTGTACGAAGTACTTTTAATCTTTTATTGTATTATAAAAAAATAATTAATGAGTTCAGAATAATAACCCTAACAGAGGAAGGTCACAAACTATAAGTAACGAGTTAATTCAACTATTTATTAAGTAAGTTACTTCCAATGTGATTTATCGTTCAAAAATACTTTTTAAAAAAATTCTTACCAATTATATAGTTTCTAGGACATTTTATTTGAGAACCCAATAGAGAAATGTTGAACAACCTCATATAGTATACTTAAATATATAGACAAATCATGATTAAGATCATATAGATGATAATAACACTCTAGCTAAATATAATTTCGATCAATAAAAGTCTTAAATAGCTATTTTTAGATTATCATTAAGATGAGTAGAAATCGAAATGTTGGTGGTAATTGACAAACAAAAAAAAGAACAACGCTAAATATGATAAGCCTACTCATTTACAAAATATGATTGATCCAACTGATCCGTTTTAGTTCAAAACGTAAATGGAGATAACTCATTTATTATATATATATATATATATATATATATTACTATTGATCAAACTTATGTGTAACACATAATTGATGTAAGTTAAAATCAGTAACGGGAATGAGGATATATATATATCTGATTTTGTAGAGCTGGAATTCATGGTAAACTAAACTGATAGTCCCTTGAGCAACAATGTAAGTGTTATTGTGTTTGGCCATTTTAGACGACACAAATGACTGATTAAATAACAGATGAGACAGTATGGATGGTACGGAAAGCTTATAGGAGCTAACAGATTTCATCAATATTTTCTAAATTAATACGTTAAAACAAATAATAGAATTATTTGACTAATATAAATAACTATCAGTTTAAAGGTTGCGGAGATTGTTGATTTTTTTTATTGAGATCATGAACCGATTGAAAACCTGGAAGCAATGGACGACCGTTTCGTCCCATTAAGAAGCCGTGACCAGTGGAGCTAATCCGTGTCGGGTAGAAACAGGTTTCTACCTCAGTACAATGGAAGATGGTCGCGCAACTTCGTGGATTGGTTGAGGTTAGACATTAACACCATTGGATGCCGGCTCAGTGGTCCAGTATGTTGGACGTTCGCGCACGAGACTGGAGGCCCTGGGTTCGAATCCCGCGAGCGGGATCGTGGACACGCACTGCTGAGGACGAAATGGTCGTCCAGCGCTTTCAGGTTTTCAATGATAGTCTAACACCAATCAGTTCATGATCTCAATCAAAAAATAATATAAATAAACTTGAATAAACTCTGAATGTTAGTTATCCCAAAAATTGAGAAAACGTGTAACTTACACAGATCTGAATGAGAACACTGGTCCACAGAATTAAACATTAACGGTAGGATAGTTTTTCTTTTATTCGAATAAATATAAGGTATATCAAGGTAATAGGATATTTGTAGGTGACCATTGTTATATGGGTTTTGTAGACATTGTTGAATATTATTGAGACGACAAGCTGACAAATACTAGGAATCAGGGGGAAGTGGATAGCTATTTTATTTTAGTATCGAACTCTTCAGCAGTGCACATCCACGACTCCATAGGGAATGGAACTTGAGAGTTTGGAATTTCTTGCAGAGAACTTAACCTCTAGACCACTGAGTCAGTATTCAGAGGTCCAAATGTGAAATATCGATTAACTCACGATATTGCTCAACTATCGTCTACTGTCCTTAGTTGGTAACTGCCTCACACCCAGTATAAGTAGACCCCGTCCATTATGGCTACTTCCTAGAGCTACAGTGATTTCTTCTCGAATAACAATTAAAGATAAATCAGATTCTTTAATCCAAACACTGTTTTCGAGTGAATGAAATTGTATATTAGTCAAAAAATTGAATTGCCTAATTACCACAAAACTTTCATAAACATATTATTTTTAATCTTATAAATATTACAGTAGATCTTTGTGCATTGAGAAACAAGAAAAATGACAAGGTTTGTGAACTGCAAGCATTAACATGAATTATTGAGATATCTTTTCATGGTGCATAATTTAACAAAACTTACCTCATTAATATTTTTATAAGTTCGAATAAGATTCACCGACATTTTCATGACAGGTCGTTGTTCTAAATCTCGTGGACAGGGGTATTGATTGCTAACATTTACTATCGGTTCACAATGAGAAACTATAGTACCACGAGTATTACTGCCTAATCCAGCATCTTTGACATGGTTACATAATGTTGAATTACAAGTAATTTCATCCGCAGTGGAAACAGGAAATGGAAAAATAGGATAACAGTAAGTATTTAATCCGCTCTGCGAAGTACTACTTTGAAGTAAACAACTAGATACTACAGTTGTAAGATTTTTTGATAATGATGGACTACCTGGTTGTCCGCCTATGTCCATTGCGGTTGGTTGAATATCGGAATGGCATGAAAATATAAATGATTCTGAACCAAGTGAATGTGATAATTCCATAGGTTGATGAATATCTCTGTTAGTATGTTGTTGTATTTTAGTGACTGTTGGATCTAAATTGGCATAAGCTGACTGAGCCACTATTATCTGAGAAGTAGGTTGGCAAACATTTGTACTGGTAGTTACGTTAGTACTAACTATTGATACAGCTTTTTGAATTTTATTTTCATATGTTGATTTCACGCTAGTTAGACACAAACTAGCTTTCTTTTGTCCGACGTCAATTGGCTTAGTAATTTCATCATTTGTATTCGTGGTCGAATGTTGTTCCAACTGGCATAATTGGTCTGCTGTTACCAGTTGACCATAAATAGCACCACACGCACTCAGTACCGGTGATGAAGATAGTGGTGGCTGATTTGCTTGACATCTGATAGTGGAAATTTGTGGGATGGCAGCATCAGGCCAGTTAGATACTATCAAACTATTCTTGCCAATATTATGAGTGCTTGCATTGTTTAAGGATAGATCACTACTAACACGGGTGCTTGACTTCCCCAGTCTTTCGCCACTTACGGCCATGTGAATAAATTTCGACCGATTAACTGCAGAACAAGTGAGGAGTGAAAAATAAAACACTCAGGGTGGATTTTGTGAGTTAAATACAGGTAAAATAATGTGAATTATACATAAATAAACTGTAACTCGTCACTGAACTTAGATGCGACCACAGCTGCTACCTATACATAATGCTTGGGCTTGTCTGTCTTGATCGTATAAACAACAAAAATTGATTAAAATACCAGTTGCTTCAGGTTCTTTCGCAAGGTAGTAGAAATAATAGTGGTATCAGTGATAGTGAAAAAAATATTAAGTATTGAGAGTATGGTTCAAGCAGTGTGAATTCGTGGAATAAAGTATTTCTAGAACTCATGTTTCAGGGGAAGAAAAAGAGTGAGAGAATTTGCGCTCCTACGACTGATTCTGAGCCATGTCATATAAAAGCTCCAACCACTTGGACCCCAATTACGCAGTCTACACTTACTAGCACGGCCTAAACCAGCCGTTAATGACTTCATGGATTGGTCTCGTGTTTTGGTTTAGCAGCTCTTAGACTGCTTCGAGCCTACACTTGTCAGTATAACATCGTGTGTCAAGGTAGGTGGTGGTTTGTATGTGTATTACATGTACCGACTGCTACATCAGTTGATGGAAATCCAAAATCTCGTCAACCAGTTTGACATACATACCTACTACCATGCATCTGACCCAACTGTCCACATTCGGTAGTTTTGAAAGCAATTTATCGAAGGTTTCAACGATCAAGTACCAATAACTTACGAATATCCTCTATTTCTAAAGGCTAACACAATCATTTAGTGACGCACAACGAATCAGTGTGCAGAATGCCAGTCTCTTCATTGGTAGACCGACATCTCAAAACAAGTGACGAAAATTAGGGGGGAAAACCAAGATAATAAGTCAATACTACCGAGATAGGCAGGTTCAATATAATTACGAATCTCTTTTTAACATACAGAAGTAAGTTGAAATTTTGTATGGCTAAGATTTCGACAAACCCAAGTAGTCTCCATAGACAGCTTTTATATACAATTAAAAATGCTAAGATCAATCACGTGCTTAACAAAAGATGGAAATAAGTAAATGTCGTTTGTGCCTATTAGGTCATTTACTCGAACATTACCAGTCGAGTCAGAGCTGTCATCTGACTTTGCAACCTCAAGTGATGTCCGACAAGGCTGTTCACTATCTCCATTATAGAAAAACTGTTGGAGATAATGTTCTTGTCTAGATTTTCGGGTATTCATCGCCTACTAGGAGATCCACTTATCGACTTAGAATACGCAGACGACATAGTCCTGTTTGGTGAGAACGCTGATAAAATGCAGTCTCTTGGTAAAAATGGGAAACAACACCAGGATGTTTAGATGCGCTGACAACTTCACCTACCTTGGAAGTCTGATCAGCCCTAATGGTTTGGTGTTTGACGAAATCTCTGCATCAATTCAGTAAAGCTCGTTTGGCTTTTGCCAACTTACGTGACCTATGGCGAAGGCGAGATATCCGTCTATCAATTAAGGGATGAGTATACTGCATGGCAGTTCATTCTGTTCTACTTGACGGCTGGGAAACGTGATCATTAAGGGTAGAGGATACTCGTAAGTTACTAGTATTTGATTACAAATATCTTAGAAATATTGCTAGCATGTTTTAGAATCACCGGGTAAGTAATGGTGAGGCCAGACTCAGCGTATTAAGGAATGATGATGGTAAATCATTTGATGAGGTCGTAAATCTTCATCGATTGAGATGGTTGGGTCACGTGTTACGTATGCCTGAACACCGATTGCCACGACGCTCAATGCTGACTAGTGTTGTGGATGGTTGGAATAAAGTTAGGGGCGACCAAACCAGCATACAGCCACTGACAGGGAGGTCTTACTAACAGCCTTCTCTCAATGGGGGTGTTATTCACGAAATTGAGAGGATGAAAAGCGAATGTCCGGCGCTTTGACTGGGTTGTCGGGTACGAAGAATCTATCTAAGGGAGCTGGAAACCTTGACACCAAGCCATTGGTGCAAGTGGGCTCTAGGAATCTGGGGGAACAAATGACACACGAACCTATTGTTGGTCACCGACTACCATGGGACTGCATCTCCCAACATTGCCTCGCCGTCTTGTGGATTAGACCTTTAGGTCCAAGGTTCGCAGAATGGTCCTCTAAAAACCCGTCTGGTTCAGTTTGATAAACAGGGCGGTATCCGAGCTGTCGCACAAATTGAATGACGAAGTGTAGTGCATATACAACTGGTGCTTCCTTGTGCCAATGTTTATGTATTTATTTTTTATTTTATTTTAACACATATTGGTACAAGGAGGCACCAAATACATATGCACCACACAAATCTCATTCGATATGTGTGAGGGCTGTGATACTGCCCGGGTGCCCAAACCGAAGCAGGTGGTTTTCTTAGGGGGCCACTCCCCGAGCCTTCGACCTGAAGGTCTGATCCACAAGGCAGTGGAGCATCGTAAGGAGATGCAGTCCCATGAAAGCCGGTGACCAACAATTGGTTCATACGCCATTTGTTCCCGCAGGATACTGGAGCCCATGTACACCATTGGTTTGGAATCCGGTTAGAGCGCCGGACATTCGCTTTTCGTCCTCTCATCTTCGTAAACCACACCCCCGCCACGAGAAGGCAGTGAGTAGGACTTCCCTGTCAGAGGCTATATACGCGTGGCCATGTGAGAGCGTTTCGAGAGGGAGAGCGGACTCTCCCCGTTCTTGGCCGTACCAGGGCATTTGTATTAATCTTAAGGGTTGAAAGGTTAAACAATGTTTCTCATCATACTTAAAGTTCCTACTTGCTAAGAATAACAGTTATCTTGGGATAATTGTTCGCTGTCTTGAGTCGCCAAGAGACACAACTAAGTGTCTACCAGCTTGAGTTAGCCTACGTACTTGAGCGTTGGAATTACCTGCTACAATTACTACATTTGAGCACTTGGTATTTTGAAGATTAGAAAGCTTTCTGTAAAACGTGTCATTTTTATCATCTGAACTGTAGTCAGTGAGACGGTAGGCAAAAACGAAAGAGACAACGGAGTGTTTGTGTCCTTCAGTACCATTTAACCGGTGCATAAGCGATTGAATACTGTAATTCAGTATAGGAAAGCCTGTTTTGGTTTGGAACTGCACACTATATCTATGAGGGCACGAGGAATTGCAGTCAAATCTCGACATACAAAAAGGCGAATTGTGTTGGTTTGTTGTACTAGCTAGGTTACATTAATCGAACGAACACATTAGGATCCTGTATTTATGTTTTGGGGAAATTAAACATAGATGAAACCAGGTTCTAAGGTCTTAGCTAGTGACTCTTGTCTGATTTGACAAAGTATTGAAGGCTCCAACAAGTAGTTTGAAGGGGGATTCAGGAAAACTAGGACCGTTGGCATTAGTGCAATGCGTAAGAAGACGTCGGAGACAAAAAAAGAGGAATGATTATAGAGATAGAAATGTTGGGAAAAGAAAAACAGATTTAACTGTAAACAAGGTGATTTCCAGAGTTATTAAAGTTATGAGGGTGGTTGTCACTTCCCGGTCGGCCATCTCGTTAAAGAACACAATTTGAGGTACCCGAAATGGAAACCGAGTTAGATATGGTTTTGACAACCTGATAGTGTGATCACAAGGTGCAAGGAATAAACGTTTGTAGCCCGTTATAGACGTTTTTTGTGAGTCTTTGATATGTTGGCTTCACAGTATTAAAGACTAACAGCCGGCACCGGAATCCATAGAGTAATACGAAGTGAAGGGTCAACCTTTCCTAACCACCTCCACTCATTGGGTAGCATTTATTTATTTAAACACGAAAATTGGTACAAGGAGGCACCAAATAAATATGCGCCACATAAATCGTTCAATTTGTATGAGGGCTCGGGTACTGCCCGGGTGCCCAGACCGAACCAAGTGGTTTTCATAAGGAGCCATATCTGGAGCATTGTTGTGGATGCTGGTTATTCATCAGAAACATTATTGCAGCCACACTCTCGTATATTTGATGTATGGCTCTATTTTTTTCCCATCTAAGTACATGACCAATAGACATTGTCACGACCACGAATCACACTGTTATGACATTTTTTGATACTGCTTACCTGCTGATTGGCGAGATATGGATTTTTTGGGTAACACTCATAGCAGTAGCAACCCGCTTATCATACAATCAACCCTATAGATTGTAGCATCAACGGCTCTTTAATATTCCCCGGTTCGTCAACATGACTGGTGCTGTCAAAGTTTTTGGGAAAAGCCCTTTATGATAGATTACTACCACACTCAAACACAGTCATCTAACACAAGAGCAACCAGTTTGGGTACTGCCCTCTTTAACCTGGTAAACATTGCGAGGAAGCACTAGTAGTAGTTCTAGATAAGTCTACTCATTGAAAACCTTAACAAAACACCTGGTTCTACGTGTGGAGCTTGTGTAAAAACTAGATCTGAGTTTACTGACAGTAAAGTGATGAGACTTTTTATGGTCGGACAAGTAGTAGAAATGGACAGAACATCACCTAAATATAGATTTAAAGAATGTTGTATCACAAATTAACGAATAAAGGTCCTCACTCTTCCTACTGCTTAGGAAGTGTCAACTATAAACAATCGGGGTTCGTATTTCAGAACGGTGGTATTCAGTAGAAATAATGGGCTTAAACTGCAGGATACTTTGAATGAAATAACTAGGTATTTAAAAAATAATCCCAAGAGTTCACCAACAGATACAGGTCACAGTAATTCACAACAATAATTTATTGACTGAACAGCGTCACCAGTTTGGAAACGAAAGCCTGGGAATAATTTCAAGCAATAACTTCGAAACTACGGCATGTTTCACTTACATGGGGTCATGTTTAAAATGCTCAGTGAGTCACTTATAAACAACCTAGAACCTGGCATACATGTAACTCGACATACATTGCCACACAACAGCATAGGAAGATATTAGGGTGACAGTAGTAGTAACAGTATCAGTAGTAGTGAAGAAAAATTATGAATGACATGGTCGAAGAAATGTGTTTGTGGGATGAAAATTTTCTAAGATAACCAAGAAGCTTAGAATTTAAAGGAAAATAAAATATGCATCTGCTCTGTTGCGACCAACTCAGCTTCATGCCACTCAAAGTCCTCAATCATTTGTTAGAATCGCGTGGACTTCAGTCAACTAACCTATTCTGACATCTGGGTATCCAAAGATGTAAAGTCAGTCAATGGAATTTTCAACATCTTATACGAATCGATCAAGTCCCTGGGAATTTTTACTTTATGACGTTGATTTTTATGATCGAGTATGTTTAATAACTACTTAAGTCCCAATATCTTATTTCTCTGGACTGCCATAACAGTTTAAAGTCTTTAGCCATCTACTCTGGTCGATATTCCGCGTTTATCATGGTAACCAACATTTACAACTTACCAATGGTATCAGGAACTAGAATGAAAGCCTATAACGGGTGGTTGATCCTTTACGAGGAAATCGGCGACAAGGTAGAGCTGAAAACGATCGTTATTGCTGCATAAGGCTGAACCGAACGTTTTGGACTGATAACTAGTACTATATGACTAATTAAGCTGAAAGGGATGGATCACTTTTATTTCATGATTTATAAGTTAAGGGTTGTGTAGTTTGACAGGTGCAGCAGAATAGATTTCAATATTTATAAATCCGGCGTCTTTTATACAGACACAAACAGTGAAAACAGTAAGAACGCATTGTTAGTATCTTATAGTTACTATTTGCATGTCACATACTGCCTACTATTTGTACATGAAGCTACCAGCTGTTTCCAGTCCCCTCAAAAGAACACTTATAGCAATAGACGAGATACGCAAATAAACATCAAAATTCATTATGACTTACTTTCAGTACATTTAAAGATTCAGGGAAATCGCAAATTATAATCAAAGTAAAATAAAATTAGCTCTGCCATTACGCAATTTCAATACCTTGGCCGGCTTTTCCCATTTACTACATTAAAACACAATTTGGTCACTAAACATTCAAACGCATTGATTAGCCACAAAATCTCTTTTTAGGTATGCACTTGCTTCCCAAAAGTGTTAACTGATCTTTGTTTATCGTGTCCACTTTCAGGGCTGTGAATATATGAAATCACCTTAAAAGCATTATCAAAAGGCAATGTTACAATTTCTTCAAGCAAATAATTCCCGTAACTCTTGTTCCCAAGCTGGATACGAATCTCTAGTCGAAACAAGTTGATCTTACTATATATATAATTTTCTGAAAATATCCCCCTATATGACCAGTCCAGTAGGAGGAACAACCGCGCATTTCGAACTGGAAGTTTAGTCCTAACGTCATTTGCATTTGTCAAACTTTTGCTGTATTCTTAAGCAACAAAAGTACCGTTTCTGACCAAAAGAATATATTCTGAGTTATACGTTCGGGAGATTACTTTTTTTTAGTTTCACTTCATTTAATAGTTAACTGTGGTTTTGCCTCAGATTACTATTCGGGTTTTTTTCCAGTTTTTCACGTAAAGACTGGTTCAGTTTATCTCATCCGTTTTATCCATTTTTGTCCGTTTTCAGTGTGCTTTTTAGTGTATTTTTTATGGTGTCAGGCTTTTGCTAGCATCTACAACACAGTTTACGTCAATACAGTCATGAAAAATTCATGCAAACGATCTGGATGTCGTTTTGCTGTTACATCTGGCATGCAGTGAGATAACTGGTTCCACGAAGCGTGCACAGATCTCACAGCAACTGCTTACAATAGACTCAGCAAGTCGGATCATAAGTGGGAATGTGTTACGTGCAGCACGGATGCTGCAGTTTTGCTGAGTAATATCATTGTCCTACTGACAGGTCTGCAGAGCAAGTTGTCGGCAAACTTGGGAAAAGACAGTCAAAAAAATTGATAGAAAAACAAGAGAGCGCGTTAAAAACGAGAACAGGGATGTCGACAGGTTTAGCAACGACGGAGCATGCAACAGCATTAATTATGATACGCTGAAACTCAGCACCATGATTACAACGACGGTACTCGACTCCCTCAGCAAACTCGAGTCTCACAGATCAACGTCCTTGAACGCGGCAGTGGTTTTCCAAAAACTCTGTAGGTGATTGGACCCATGTCAGAAGAGCTAAAAAGAACCAGGCGTCACAGTCTAAGTTGAACATCCCAGCTGTTGAACGTAAGTCAACTGGTGATCTGGTCGCACAGTCTGCCCCCAAGATTATCCGTCCGGTCATCAAAGAGCCAAGGATTCATAAACGTGCTTCGACCCCCAAAACAACAAGGTGCTAAACCTGAACGCAGCGAAAACCTGGGACGACAATAACGGTTCATGATCACTCTCTCATAGTCATGAACTTCAAAGACAACCCTGACCTTCCTCTCAGTTTGCAGGACAAAATGATAAGATACTCTGGGGAGAATTGAACAAGAAACTTGGACTTCCAAGAATAGAACTTTGACAGTCACAAGGATCACTCGGGGAAAGGAATCTCAGCATCAAAATCACCCAAGACTACTTCGTGTAACACTTAAGAATGCTACCGACGTAGAGAATGTCTTATTAGTGAGTCATTTACTGAAATCAGATGAGAATGTAAGAATACCGTCTGACATGCCGTATTCTGAGCGCAGTCTCATCCGGAACATCCCCAAAGAAACTCGCGATCAGTTTTTCCGCGGGAGGAATATAATCGTGCAAGGCATACCGGAAAATACGGACCCTACTCAATCAAAGACTGACATCAGGGAATGGAAATTCATCAGTCCTTGAGGCTCAAAAACATACTGACTCAGCATGTGGCGAGACTAGCCAAGAAGGATGGTGATTCTAGACCCCGTCTAATGAAGATAACCTTCCCATCTTCACATATGGCGGCTGCAACTCTGGGAGCATTTCGTGCCAACAGACGTCGACTGCCACCTGGAATCCACATGCACCCGGATAGGCCATACGAAGCTAGGACCAAACACAAAGGCAAGTTGGAGCTGACCATTCCACTTGTGAACTGTCTAGACGATAAAAAAATGTGTAAAGGACAGGGCCTACTACCACGGCAAACCTCATATAGGTGGGCTACCTGTCCATTCACGTAAGGCTCATACAGACAAACAGGAAGAAGCTTACGCGTTCCAAATTGAAAGCATAAACTGCTTATATATGAACGCCGCGATGAAATGCGTGAACTTGGCAACTTCATGTGGACTGTCATTGGGACTTCTTACTGCACACGCTCTCACGTGCTACAAGCCATTCAGTTCCTCAAACGGTCCCCGAAAGCTGCAAGCCACCTACAATAATCAGGGACTGTACCCTTCGCCTGCTAAGCCGCAAAAGGCACTGTTGGGCGGAACACAAACGAACTGACAACGACCTAAGCGCTGACTTGGTGTTCCGTAAACTTCAGCATTTAAGATTAGACGCTTCTCCTAGCCCGGACATGGTTCATTCCGCCATACTGAGGGAAGCGGCCTCAATCTTAGCAACGCCGCTTAGCGTGATGTTCTCACACTCGCTAAGTCGAGGAAGACTACCGGAAAATTGGAGGCTGGCCCACATCACACCAATTTTCAAAGGAGGTTGACGCAGCAAACCTTCAAGTTACCGACCGGTGGCTCTTTTATCTACACCCCCAAAAATCATGGAGTCCCTGATATGCGATGGTATACATGACTATTTACTGTCTTTAAACTTCTTCTCACCCCAACAGCATGGTTTCAGGAAGGGTTACTCTTGTATTACCAACCTGCTGATTGAGGTGGACAGATGGACTAGCACCCTTGATCACAAGGGGAAGGTTGATATCATCTACCTAGATTTCTCAAAAGCTTTTGATAAGATTAACCATACATGTCTTATCAATAAGCTCATACGATTGGGTATCAGACCACATCTAATCGATTAGCTCACTTCATACCTGAAGAATCGACATTTCAAGGTCAGGGTTAATTTCACTTTATCTCAGGTTATGGAATGTCCTAGTGGGGTCCTTCGGGGCTCAGTACTAGGACCTCTTCTCTTCTTGATCTACATAAATGATCTTCCTCAACAGGTAACGTCAGACTTATTATTTTTTGCCGACAACGTGAAACTTTGGAGAGAGATACGCAACCAAGACGATATATAGGCATTGCAGGAGGATCTGACTCGACTTCAAGGTTGGGCAGACGATAACGGACTTACCTTTAGCACTTCAAAGTGTAAAGTAGTCCATCTGAGACATGTCTCAGACTACAGTTATAACTTAGGTAACTCCCCTCTAGTAGCATCCCAAGTCGAAAAAGATTTAGGAGTCTTGTTGCTCTACGATTTAAAGTCTTATGCTAACCGTGACAAAAATGCCTGGTAACACTGAAGCGCATTTTTGGCCAGTTTGACGGAAGAACTTCCCATATAATCTTCAATAGTTTTATCCATCCCCATATCGAGTACGGAAACATAGTATTTTCCTTCTCACTCCGAAAGGATAAGGACACATTGGATCGTATCCAACGGAGAGCCACGAAATCAGTTTGTGGACTCAAATTTAAACCTTACGAAGAGCGCCTCCATTCACTCAACCTTTACCCATTAAAGGATAGACGTCTTAGAGGTGACCTTCTGATGGCTTATAGTATCCTTAACACTTCTGAACATCCTCTCAAACACCTACTTAAGCTTAGTCCAAACATTAGCCTAAGAGGTAACACCCAAAAACTGGAGACACAACATAGCAGAACGGACTGTATACATAACTTCTACTCCTTAATAGTTGTCAAATGCTGGAATGCGCTGCAGGCCGAGCTAGTCCAAGCGACTTCTCAGGAGTCCTTTAAAAGGCAATTTGATCTATTCTTAAGGACTAAGGATAGTATCACACTATGATTTACTAATTTCTTTCCCTCTTTTATTGTTAACATACCTAGGTTCCTGCCTGGAGGATTTGGTGATCCCCTGATACTAGACACGGAAGCCTGTCAAGTGAAAGCTTCTTCTATTCCATCCACAACCATTTGAACCATGTAAACCATTTAAACAGATAGGAAAGTTACTCCACAATTAAATTCGTGTGTACGATTAAGTAAAGTAAAATTGTCTCTCAACCTACAATAAAACAGCAGAAGTAGATTAAAGTTAAACTGTCTGATTTATATCTATCCAGTAATTTCATGATCGTCTTCCGACGCCCCATTTTTCTTGGTTCGCAAACCACCGTTGAAGACAAACATGCATATACTAGAAAGCCACTTTGATTGAAATTATTGGATGACCTATTAGATTTTGGTACGCCATATTTCTCTTTGTTTCTGTGAAATATTAATATTCAGTATATCGATTTCACATGTATTGCTTGTACAATATACGTTTCTTTAATATTAATTAGATATTTTTACTGTCATTATCGCGTCTTTTACATTTGCTTTTTCGGTCACGGCACAGGCCATGCAAATGAGTATTGTGCATGTTTGACCTAATACTTCATTTCGGCGAAGTGCTGGCTTTTTCCCCATAGTTTTCTATAGTGTATTTGGAATTCGTTTCTGCCTGTCGATGCCAAAGTTGCCTAGAGAAATTTGACTTTTCCAGTGAACTTAATTGCTGTTGGTTCCCAACAATGAGTTTTTCAACTAACACAATATGCCAAGCTTTATTCTGTCGTCTATTATTAGATTTTTTGACTTTACACATTCCGATTTTCTACCTTAAATGTGTATGGGTTTGGACCATCTCTGAACAATAGCACAAATCGCTGGCCTACACTTATTGATAAGTAATTTAAATGAGAAAAAAGCCCTCAATTTTGTTTTAGGGAACGTTACTCTCAACAGATTCCAATGAAGAAAAAGTGCTGTTTGCTCTAGTCAGTTGCATCGATTACTGAGAAAGTTGCTATATTATCAGCTTACTCTGTAACGGGTTTCTAGCAACATTCGAAATTCGTCATAGATAATGAAGAAGAGAGCGAGAAATGAACTGTAAACACAAACTCTCGGTTTGGTTTTATGTATTTTATC